CAGCTTATATACATTACGTGATTCACACATTTTGTTTTGTTTTGTTTTGGTTTTTTTTTTCAATGGGATCTAAAACACTTTACTGATTGTCCTTCAAATCAGGAAAAATTTCTAAGGTGAAAATGATGTTGCGTTAAACATCATTGTTAGGCCAAGGAATTATCGATACTTAGTTCTTCGTCCATCGAGGTATAATTCGGTTATGAGATGGGGGTCGCAGACCAATAGGGTACTGTAGTTATTAGCTGTAAAACAGATATACAAAGTTTTAAATACTTCGAAATTAATTTAAAAATACTATAGGCCTAAACACTTTTATTTGAGAGATTATATCTGTAAACAAATTAATTAATATACATTGAACATTAAAGTAAGTCTTATACTCGAAGTAGACATTTACAATGGTGTTAATTTTCAGAGGTTTGAAGCTTAAAAAAATAGATACCTCATCAAACAGTAGGCCCATACAGTATTTTACAATGAATTTTGACGATGTTGTAAGTTGGAACTCCTCAAGGTCATCTGCACTTGTTTTTATGTTTCTGTAAATTTTACCAAAATATAGATAACAATGCTAATGATAATAATACACAGAATAAAGTAGGGTCTAATTAATCCACAATTCAACTCGATTTATCAGTATAAGAATTTTGCATATATAGTAGTACAGTATTGTTTATTTCATTATTGAAGAGGGCGCCCTATTTGAAGAACTTTTTGCATACCTAACCAATGGTAAACAATCACCTGTATTAGATATTGTGTCGATGTTTTGTTGCTAACATTGTTTGACCAAGTTTGACCAGCGGTCAATCAGGGTAAGCTAGGCCAGGTTAGTACTCTGTTGTACCGTACTTTAATCGTGGTGTAATGTGTACTGTAACCCCCAAAAACACCATAAAAGGTAATGGCCGACTAATGTAATACAAAGTACGAATAGGCCTAGGCCTATAGATAATATGATGATTGGTAATCTCATGGAGGAAGCCCCATGGTACAGTAGGCTTATCACTGATGGTTTCTGATCAGAAGGTGGTGGGGGGGGGGGGCGCGATCTCCACCCACGTCGTCTGAAGTCACGACGAGCTCGTCGGAAATTTGCTATCCGAATGTTATGAGCCCCCCAGGGATTCTATTCCAATAGCCTGACTGAAATT